GGGATCGCACTGCATGATGCGTCCTCTTTGCGTGACGTGCGCGGGGCGCAAAGACGAGCGCACGTGTTTGCCAAGGGGCGACTATGGCAAAACGTTCCTGTCAGTGCCTCAGGGTAGCGGCGCCCAGGCTGCCCCTGGTCGCGTCATCGTGGATCCACGGCCGCAGGCCCGGTTGTAATGCTCTCGACACTTCGCGAATACCCAGCGGCCCTTCCGCAACAGGTGCAGTCCTACAGGCCCGACTTCAGCCTCCCCTGTGCGTTGCACCTCGGCTCACGACTGTTTAGCCTGAGCGGCTAGCAGGTCGTCCGCTTGGAGCCTGGCGCCACATCGGCGGCTCACTCCACTGGCCAGCACGTCTTCACCTGGACAAAGGACTTGCCCATCGTGGTCCGCGTCTTCCTGTGCGGGTTGTGACTTAGCCGCTCGAATAAAGTGACATTTTGTCCTGTGCACGTGCCCGAGCTTGCAGTGCGCCGGTCAGTTCAGCTACACCCAGCCAGCAGCTGCCGTCTGAGTGGGCCGGCCGGCCTGCGCCTGTCCTAGCTAATTTGCCTAGTTGGCGTCCCGAACTTTGCTTTCGCCGCCTGACCGTCGTCTGGTGGCCGCGACCGAAAAAGAATGCCCAGCAGCCCATCCAGCAACGACGGCCTGGCGAGCTGATTTGACCGATTGTCTGATTAGCAAGCCCACAGTGGAGGAGACCCAGCCCTGAGACTCAGGACGTTCTTTGGTTTTTGGCGTGGGAACGTCACGCTCGCCATCGCAACACCATCGAAACCCAAGAAATCCAGGGTACCCAAGACACCCAAGAAGCCAGGGTGTGTCTTGGCATGGCCCCCCCGCTGTAGCTTTGATTTGAGGGGCGACGGGTGGGGGAGGAAAGATTTCTGTTTTGTTTTGTTTCTCCGTTCCAAATATTACTGAACGGCAACGCCGCAAACCATTTCAATGTATCCGACCTGTGCGAGGCAAACTGCAAAGTGGCCGCGCAACAGCTCATGCTCACGGCCAACTAGTGCTGCGAACGCTTGGGCTCGACCCTCACAACGCCCTCACGGGAAACAGCTACATGATGAAAAACACGCGCGATACAGGCAACGGCAAGAAGGACAACAAACACTGCCAGCCCCAAGAGGGATGCAGAGCTGGAGGGACGAGGGTCGAAGAATCTCCGTGGAACGCAGGAGGGAGACACGGTGGAGGGACGGAGGGACCTTCCTAGGAAATCGGACTCTACACACCGACGCTTCTTCCGGCCCTGCATCAGAATTTGCACTGGAGAGCGGATCCTGGTGCATACGGGACCCTGGTGTATATATTGTTCGTTGCTTCCCGGGACATCGGGGACAAAAAGTATACAGCACACAACCCCAGCGTCGTCCTCGACTCTCGAGACATCCTGGGGTTGAGAAACAGCCCGCCACTGGTAATGCATACGTTCCAGTTTCCGACTTCCTGCTCCACTCGCCTCTCCTCCAAAAATCCTTCCCGAATCCCCCCTCCTTCCCTCTGCGCCTGCTCCGCTCCCTGCCCCCCCCCGCCCTGCATTCTGCGCCGCTCTGCTTCTCTCCGCGCCTCGCCCTCTCGCGCTCCTCCTCGCTGCCGGGCTCCTCCTGCTGCATCCGCCCTCCTCCGAACTCTTTCGCGCTCCTCCCAACTCAATCTCGCCCCTCGGCACTCCCCGCCACTCCACTCCACCCCACTCCCGTCCGCGTTCCTCCGCCCAGCTCCACATTCTTCCCCGCTCCACTCCTCATCGCACTCTCCATCCAACTGCACTCCATTTTACTTCGTTTCTCTCCGCCCAGCTCCACACTCCTCCCCATTCCACTCCTCGCTCCTCCGTCTTCCTTCGCACCCCCCCCCGCCTTCTTCGCATTTCTCTCCGATCGTCCACCCTCCTCCGCACTTCTCTCCACTTCCCCACTCCTCCGAACTCCATTCCACCTCATTCCCGTGCTCCGTATTCCGTCCGTTCATCCTCTACCTTCTCCGCACTCCTCACAAGCCCTGTCCACACCTCCTTCATTTCTCCTTCCTTTCCCTGCTTCCTTCACTCCTCCTTGCTCATCCACGCTCTTCCTGCGTTCTCTTCGCTACATTGCGTTCGATTTGCATTTACTTTCTCTCCGCTCAGCTCCGCACTCCTCCCCATTCCACTCCTCGCTCCTCCCCTATCCTTCGCACTCCTTCGAATGCCTCTCCGATCGTCCAACCTCGTCCGCACTTTTCCCCACTTCCACAATCTTCTCAAAATCCTCCCAACACCATTCCACCCCATTCCCCTCCAGTGTCCTCCGCCCTCTTCCGCATTCCTCCCCACTCCCCACACGTCGCTCCTCTACCCTCCTCTGCACTCCTCCCAACCCTTTGCGCGCCTCCTTCCTTTTCCTCTCTCCGTCACTCCGCGCTCCTCCCTGCTCATCCGTCTTCCGCCTGTACCCTCCGCATTGCCTGCGCATGCCTCCCCGCTTTACGTTTCCACGCTCGTACGATATGCTCTCCGCTCTCCTGCTCCTCCGTTTCCTGCTCTTCCTCTTCCATCTCCTCTTCCCCTTCCGCCTCACTCCTCCCCTCCCGACTCGAGGCAAGGATGGGGGGATGCAGGCGTGGAGGGGTTGATGGAGCAGTGAGCAGTGGATGGAAGAAATGCTGTTAAGCCCTGTGTTGTTCACGTCCGCCGGTCTTCATCAAACGCCTGCTGCCCAGAGGGAGACAGCATGGCTGGATCATTTTGCTGGATACGTGGGCGCCCCGCCATCCGCCGGCGCAGGCGCTGCGCCTGGCGAGGCGCATGCAACACAACCGCGTCAAAAACATAGGGTGCGGGCATATTCGGGGCATCGACGTTAGGGCCCATGCGATGCAAATGCGTCCTTTTGTCGCCGCTGGCACTGCGTGTGGCCACGCGCGGCACCGCAGGCTTGTCAAACAGTCGGGTGCGTTCGTTATGGCGGCATTAACGCAGGCACCTCAGGCACCGTGGCTTCACCAACAAACGCGCTACGTATGGCCACGCGCAGGAATCGCAGTCACGTCAACTAACCGGGTGCTTCCGTAACCTCGCCATGGCGGCGTTTGAACGGGCACCGCGGGCACAGTCGATTTGTCGGCACAAGCAGCGCGCATGGCCAGGCGCAGGCGCCGCAGGCTCGTGAAACAATTCGGGGTCGTCGGCTGCGGTTCTCTTCGCCGAGTGAGCTGATGGTGTCGGATTCGATGCCCGAGTCGAAGCCTGCTGCTGGATATGCCGCCCGTGGTGCTGCCGTGCCGGTGCTGGCGGCAGCTGGCGCTGCAGGCGGATTCGGCGCCGCTCCAAGGGCTGAAGAACCCATGCCATCCCAGTTCGATCCGGCCCCAGTGCCAAGCACTCTGATCCTGATCGCGCGTGGGCACACCCATGAGGGACGCTTGGCGTTGGGGCGAGTGCGCAGCCGAAGCGAGATTTCCCGGTTAGCCTTCGGCCATATGACCAAATCTGCGTAGCTGCCCCATTATGCGTGCCAGTTGTGGTGCGTTCGTCGGAGAAGCCATGTTGTAGCGCTGCAAAATCATGACGAATTCCACGTTCGACACGCCCACCGCGCGCAGCAAGAAGTAACTGAGGCCCTCGTGGCCAATCGTGAATTGTCCGGCCTGCTGCACCCTGTTGCGGAGGATGTCGAGCCTGGTGAGGAGGTTGTCGATGCCCTCCCGCGGCAATCGGTTTAAGTTCATCAGGGCCGACACTGCCTGCGCGCGCTACTCCTCTCCAAGCTGGCCCCGCCGTTTGGCCAAACTATGCATGAGGTTGGTCACGGGCGGCACTGGGTTGCAGTTGATATGACCAACTTGGGTGAAGACAGCTGGCGGCCAATCGTCCACGCACTCGCGAGGCATGCTGATCAAGCGAAAGGAGACGTAGGCCGCTGGACGAAACTCGCTGAGGTCGAACTTTGCCACTGACCAACTCATCCCCTCCCGCACCCTTTGTTGAAAAGAACGCCAACGCCTCTCCCGGCTTCCACATAATAGTTGCGGTTGACTCGGGGCGCTCTGCCCACGCCGACGATGCGAGCGTCGGACCGAACGACTGCTTCACATAGCCGGCTACTCCCACATGCGGATGCAATGAGGGCGCCGCGTCCTTATCCGCTTCCCTTTCAATCTTCCGCAACACAGTTGCGCGTAGGTAGGGGCCCTGTGCCGACGCCGTGAACGTGGAAATCCGATCGTTTGACGGTCTGACGCTGACGGCGGCACTCACAGGCGAGCGCTGTGTTTACGAAGGGCCCCCGAACATCTCGAACACAATTCGAAAGCGCCCGGGGGGGAAGGCTGGGGCGCGGAATGCGCCGTCCTTGTACGTGATGATCTCGTGGAGGTAACTCGTGCTGGGTCGCTTGCGCCAGTCCTGGCGGCTGGGCCGGGGTGGCCCTGACGGCCCTTCGGGGCGCGACGCCTGCCGCGGCGAGGTGGACGAACTGCACGAAGATGAAGCGGCATGTGGAGCGGGATGTAAGGCGGGGATCCGTAGTCAGACGCAATAGAACGGCAACCATCTGGGCGCGGAAGTGCCACGCGGGCCATGGCGACGGATTTGGTGGTGGAGCGGAATGTTCCGCTAACAATTAGAATGCGAAACGATGTGCGAACACTCGTGTTTCTGTAGCGAGATGTAAGCGGGTTGTGTACAAAACACTGTAAGCCGGGCGCGCAAAGGGTCCCTTGAGCCAAATGCCAGGGGACCTGCACATGCCTGCTGCCCTTACGCGCTGCTATGTTGCACTGGTAACCTACCATTCGAGTAGGAGGAAGAAGGGGAAGAGCAGAAGGAGATGGAGGAGAAGGAGGAGGAGGAGGAGGAGGAGGAGGAGGGGAGGTGGGGGAGGAGGAGGATGAGGAGGAGGATGAGGAGGAGGCGGAGGAGGGGCAGGAGGGGGACGACGAGGATATCCCCTCCCCGCGCCGCCCTCGCTGACCGCGGGCCCCCGCCGTCGCGGCGCGCCGCGGCTGTCCTGCTGCTCGGCCCACGCCGAGGCGGCGAGCAGCCTCCGCGGGCGCGCAGCCCCCGTCAGCTGTGTGCGCGGGAGCGGATGGGTGGCGTTGGGAGGCGCTGGGAGGGAGAAGCTGGAGAGGATGGGTAGAGGGGGAGGAGGGAGGAGGAAGCAAGAGGCGGATGGGTAGAGGGCAAGGAGTGAGGATGCGATAATGTGTTCTATATCCGCGGACGCGTGTTACAGCCGACCTGGGGCTCAAACCAAACACATGGCATTCTGCGCAATCAGGCAGAGGGGGGCTGCGTACGTAGGAGGAGGAGGAAGAAGAGGAGGTGGCGGGTAAGCAGGATGATGAGCATGAGGAGAAATAGGAGGATGTGGAAGGAGAGGGACGAGGATGAACAATCGCGGCAAACACACGAGCGGGATGAGCGGGAGGAGCAGGAGGACCAGGGGAGGGTGGATGAGGGCAAATGAAAGGGGGCGAAACCGATGAACAACACTTCTGATCTAGCAAAATGGCCCACGCTGGGGCGAGAACGCCATGCTGAACGACGTGCGCAAAGCGCCGATCCGAAACTGAGGCCAAGGCTGCAGCGGTAGCGACATTTTTGACAGACTGGCAACAATCGGACAGAGTCAGGGGAGAGAGGAGAATACAATCAAAACGTGTATGGAGGACGGGTGGTAAAGACGCAAAACCTTTAGAAACCGAACTTGGGGACGTGTTGGGCGACAGGCGACCCGTGAACACGGCAAAGGACGGGCCGCAGAGGCAAGGACACAAACAAGGGCACCCTAGATGAAGGCGCACGTCCTTACTAGGCGCGTTGACTGTAGTATTCCCATTTTGGAATTGAAAAGGAGTTCGTTCTACATAATAGTTTGATCCCCCCTCTCCACAGACAACGGCCTCTGGGGGGGAGGGGGGGCGCGTTTGACACGAACTCCAAGGCCGACAACGACAAGGACAACGACAGGAGGAGGATAACGGGAGAGGCGGAGCGAGGAGGAGAGGGGGGGAGGACAAGTTAGGTGCGCTCGCGTCTACATCTGACATCCTACCCCTCCCTCCCATCCCTTACCATGGCGCTGATTTTCTCTATCGGCGGACGCGTGTCGTAGCGGACCTGTGGCTCCGCGCGCGTGTGCGTAGTGGGTGGTGGTGCGCGTGCCTGCGTGCGTGTGTGCGTGGTTGTGGTTGTTGTGGTGGTGGTGGTGGTGCGTATGTGTGTGTGTGTGCGTGTGTGCGCGTGTGCTGTGGTGTGACGTGGTGTGGCGTCTTGGTGGTTTGGTGGTGGGCCAGGTGCGTACGTGCGTGATGGCGGTGGTGGTGGTGGCGGTGGTGGTGTGTGTGTGTGTCTGTGTGTGTGTGCGTGTGTGTGTGTGTGTGTGTGTGTGTGTGTGCGTGTGTGTGTGTGTGTGTGTGTGCGTGCGTGCGTGTGTGTGTGTGTGTGTGTGTCTGTGTGTGCGCGCGTGTGATGTGGTGTGACGCGGTGTAGCGTGGTGGTGGTGGGTGGGGTAGTACGGTGGTGGTGGCGGTGCGCGGTGGTGGTGCGCGTGCGTGCGTGCGTGCGTTGGTGTGGTGGAAGTGGCGGTGGGTGTGCGTGCGGCGGGGCGGGGCGTGGTGCGGCGCGGTGGTGGCGGGCGGATGGGCGCGCGAGAAAAGACCCGCGCTGGGGCGAGAACGCCATCCTGAACGACGGAGGCAAAACACCGATCCGAAAATGAGGCCCACGCTGCAGCGGGAGCACGATTCGGAACGATTCGGGAGCAGAAATGAGGCCGGCGCCTCAGCGAGAGCAGCATTTTGAAAAAACGCAGGCGAAAACCCAACTCCCGGGAATCCTGTGTGTAAAAAACAGTACGCGGGGGGGGTCGAATATTCCCAGCACGCCATCAGGGGAAGAGGGAGAGTAGTATTCATATTGAGTAATTGTAGAGGCGGCGCACGAGTTGGGAGGAGAGGAGGTTGAGAGGAGAGGAGGCGGAGGAGGCGGAGGAGGATGCAGCGTAGTAATTAGCAGGAGGAGGAGGAGGAGACGGAGGAGGAGGAGGAGAAGGAGGAGGAGGAGACGGAGGAGGAGGAGGAGGAGGAGGAGTGTTACGGACTCCGAATCCACCAGCGACAGCGGCAAGAGGCGGGATGAGGAGAGGTGGGGAGGCACGCAAAGTACGCTCGCGCCACATCTGACAAACCATCCTATCCCTCCCACCCATCCCCTCCTATGGCGCTGATTGTTCTGGATCCGCCCACGAGTGTTATAGCGGACCTGGTCCCCAAAGGACACCATCGTGACATGCGCAATCAGGAATTGCGAGCTGTAAATCTTGTAGAAAGGGAGGAGGGGCAGATGAGCTGAAGGATAGGGGGGCAACGAGGATAATAAGGACAATAAGGAACAGCAGCAAGAAGAGCAGGGGTGGAATGAGCGGGATGAGTAGGAGGACCAGGGGCAGGCGGAGGAGGGAAACTGAGCGGGGAGACAACGAAGAGGAACGGGGCGAATTCAGAAAAGTGGTCCGCGCTGGGGCGAGACCGCCAATCTGAACAACGGGAGCAAAACGCCGATCCTGAATGAAACACACGATGCAACGGGAGAACAATTGTGGGGAGACCGAAAACGGCCGAGCGGAAACAACCCTGCACGGCATAAACGGTGGACATGCTCAGCGTGCAAAAACAACCGTACATGGCGATGGCGGGACACTTCCAGGATGCATTCGGGGGTGAGAGACAACGAGAGGAGGAGGAGGAGGAGGAGGAGGAGGAGGAGGAGGAGGAGGACAAGCTCGGCTAGCTCGCGCGACACCTGACATCAGATCTCTCCCTCACATCCCTTCCCATTGCGATAATGTGTTCTCTATCCACGGACGCATATTGTAGCCGACCTGGGGCTCAAACCAAACACATGGCATTCAGCGCAATCGAACAGAGGGGGACTGCGTACATAGGAGGAGGAGGAGGAGGAAGAGGAGTTGGCGGGTAAGCAGGATGATGAGCAGGAGGAGGAAGAGGAGGAGGAGGAGGAGGAGGAGGACAAGCTCGGTGCGCTCGCGCAACACCTGACATCAGATCCCTCCCTCCCATCCCTTCCCATTGCGATAATGTGTTCTCTATCCGCGGACGCGTGTTATAGCCGACCAGGGGCTCAAACCAAACACATGGCATTCTGCGCAATCGGGCAGAGGGGGGCTGCGTACATAGGAGGAGGAAGAGGAGGAAGAGGAGGTGGCGGGTAAGCAGTATGATGAGCAGGATGAGAAATATGAAGATGTAGAAGGAGAGGGACGAGGACGAACAATCGCGGCAAACACACGAGCGGGATGAGCGGGAGGAGCAGGAGGACCAAGGGAGGGTGGATGAGGGCAAATGAAAGGGGGCGAAACCGATGAACAACAATTCGGATGTAGCAAAATTGCCCACGCTGGGGCGAGAACGCCATGCTGAACGACGTGCGCAAAGCGCCGATCCGAAACTGAGGCCAAGGCTGCAGCGGGAACGACACTGTGAAACACTGACAACAATCGGACAGAGTCAGGGGAGAGAGGAGAATCCAATCAAAACGTGTATGGAGGACGGGTGGTAAAGACGCAAAACCTTTAGAAACCGAACTTGGGGACGTGTTGGGCGACAGGCGACCCGTGAACACGGCAAAGGACGGGCCGCCGAGGCAAGGACACAAACAAGGGCACCCTAGATGAAGGCGCGCGTCCTTACTAGGCGCGTTGACTGTAGTATTCCCATTGTGGAATTGAAAAGGAGATCGTTCTACAGAATAGTTTGATCCCCTCCTCTCCAGGGGCAACGGCCTCTGGGGGGGAGGGGGGGCGCGTTTGACACGAACTCCAAGGCCGACAACGACAAGGACAACGACAGGAGGAGGATAACGGGAGAGGCGGAGCGAGGAGGAGAGGGGGGGAGGAATAGGCGGCGCACGAGTTGGGAGGAGAGGAGGTTGAGAGGAGAGGAGGTGGAGGAGGCGGAGGAGGATGCAGCGTAGTAACTAGCAGGAGGAGGAAGAGGAGGCGGATGAGGAGGAGGAGGAGGAGGAGAAGGAGGAGTAATTTTACGGACTCCGAATCCACCAGTGACAGCGACAGGAGGCGGGATGAGGAGAGGGGAAGGAGGCAAGCAAAGTAGGAGGAGGAGGAGGAGGAGGAGGAGGAGGAGGAGGGGGAGGGGGACAAGCTAGGTGCGCTCGCGTCATATCTGACACCCTACCCCTCCCTCCCATCCCTTACCATGGCGCTGATTTTCTCGATCCGCGGACGCGTGTCGTAGCGGACCTGTGGCTCCGCGCGCGCGTGCGTAGTGGGTGGTGGTGCGCGTGCGTGCGTGCGTGCGTGTGTGCGTGGTTGTGGTGGTGGTGGTGGTGGTGGTGGTGGTGGTGGTGGTGGTGGTGGTGGTGGTGGTGCGGCGCGGTGGTGGCAGGCGGATGGGCGCGCGAGATTGAGGCCCGCGCTGGGGCGAGAACGCTATCCTGAACGACGGAGGCCAAACACCGATCCGAAAATGAGGCCCACGCTGCAGTGGGAGCACGATCCGGAACGATTCGGGAGCAGAAATGAGGCCGGCGCCTCAGCGAGAGCAGCATTTTGAAAAACAAACGCAGGCGAAAACCCAACTCCCGGGAATCCTGTGTGTAAAAAAACAGTACGCGGGGGGGGGGTCGGCCACTCCCAGCACGCCATCAGGGGAAGAGGGAGAGTAGTATTCATATTGAGTAATTGTGGAGGAGGAGGAGACGCGCTCGGCAACAAACGTGGTGGTGCCCGTCGATGGGGGTTCGCCCCGTCTCGTCGGCGCACCCTGGCCTGCGTTGGAGCGCCTCGGCGAGCCGTGGCCGTCCACGACGGAAGTCGACAAGGGGGCTGTCAGCCGGGGCGGCGCCCTTCCTGCGCCGAGGGAGAAGTTGTAGAGGCCTCCTCAATGGGGTCCGAGTAGATGGGGTCGAAGGATCGCGCCGCATCGCCAATGCAAGGCCGATGCGTCGCCGATGCATCGGCGATGCATCGGCAACGGTGGCGATGCATCGGCGACGTCCGCGT